AAGCCAGCAACTCCTGCCTGGAAGAAGTGCCTGGAGAGAAGGGCTCGGGTTGAGGCTTAGGTGGGCCCAGAGGGTAAGAGGAAAAGGCAGAGGAGGCCAACTGAGCATTCTCTCACTGGCGACGGGGGTTGTTGGCCATAAAGCATGTCACCGTCCCCAGTGGAAAGGCCCTGGGCAGAGCGGCCCACTGCTGCTCTCTCTGCCACCCGGGAAGGGGGCAGTTTACGTCCTCGAACTATTTCTTTTTTTTTAGAGATTTTTGCCATAGGGCATGTGCACTCACCAGAGAGAGACAGAGACAGACGATGAGAGGGAAAGTGAGAAATCATCCTCCTGGGGGATGGGGGGATAGCCACACTGTAATCTTTTCTCCCCCATTCTCCTCCTGGGATCTTGGGCACATAGGCACACATGCCCAGTATGATTTTCAAGCCACTGGGTCCAGCAGAGACGTAACCTCTACACCATCTGCTGACCCCGGTCCCTGCACTGTTTCTTGGCTACCTCTGGCCATACCCAGGAGATCAGGGCTCAGGGTCAGAATCAGAAAGAGAGGGTGTGCAGCCAGCCCAATGACCTAGTGGTTCAGGGAGCCAGACCCCACATGGCTGACCTCGTAGTTTGAATCCCAGAATTGATGACTTAAAAACATGCCAGGCATGTATGCACGTGTGCCCCCAATCCCTACAGGGTGGAGAAACGGAGAAGAGATCGTGGTGTGCCCATGCTCAGCAGGGGACGCTCTGTGTGTGTGTGTGTGTGTCTTGTGAGTGCACGCACCCTCAAGTAAATTATAAAAGAAAAGAGAGAATGCTTATCCAGAGTCACCTAAGACATCTCTCCAGAGGCAGATGCTAAACTTGTTAAGAGAAAAGGAGTCATGGGTGGGAAAAAGTTCGGAGGGTCAAGACAGCTAGACCTAAATGGGAGCATGAGTCAGGAAGCTGAACGCCAAGAAGTCAGGATGGGTTAGGGCAGGTGCTCCGGGCTAAGGCTGTGACTAATACAGGTGTAGAGAGCCCTGTGTCTACAGGCAGCCTTGGGAGCCAAGGCCTGGCCTGGCAGCCTGGCAGCCTGGCATGCAGACTGGCATCTGTAGCTGCTCCAGATCCACCAAATTGCCATGGCCCAAACAGGGTTCCCAGCCCAGCCCTTCATGTTTGTCTGCCTTAGCCAGACCCCCTTGGAAGGGTCAGCTCCTGAGGCAGGGCTTGGCCCTCCTGCACATCAAGTGTTCAGGGTCTGTAAAGCACCCCTGTGCTCCGGCAAAGGGAAGACCTATAAAGGGTTGAGGCATTGGCCCTGACTTTGAATCCTTGCAGTTCAGCTCACGTACACTGGAAAGAGCTTCGGAGAAGGATCGAGGCTGACTCCCGTCGCTGTTCCTTCCTCAGCAGCTAAATGACTATCGGCAAGTCACTAAAACTTGCTGGGCCTCCATTTTCCCATCTTCAAAATGGGAATAATTAAAACCTTCTCACAGGGTTAGGGTCCAAATTCAGTAAGTTGAAGTGTTTAAAGCACTGGGCGGTAAAATAGGTGCTTGATAAATATTAGTTTTCTTCCGAAACAGCGAGTGATTGTGGTGATGCGTGGTTCCGGGTTGAACTGTGGACACTGACCTGCCACCCCTCAGCACTCACCTACGCAGAGTGCCTCCACGACGGCCGAGGACTGACGGCCGCGGCGTGACGGTGAGAATCAGTGTGTGCGTGTGCGTGGTGCCGCGGCGTGACGGTGAGAATCAGTGTGTGCGTGTGCGTGGTGCCCTCCCCCAGTCTCTCCTCTGCAACGGGCGAAAGCGCAATTTCCTTTATTTCCTTTTTGACATTTTTAAAATAATTATTTATTTTATTTTTATTATTATTATTGTTTATTTGACTAAAGGGAGAGAGAAAGGGAAAGTGAGAAAGCAAGTCACCGAGTCCAGGACCCCAAACCGTGGTCGGCCATGTGGAAGTCCAGTGGCTCAACCACCACACCACCCGCCAACCCAAGATGCTTTATTCTCGCTCTGTCTCGTGGCCATGCAAAGACTCTGCTCTGTAATAGTAGTATTTTTATTTCTCTAATAAGAATCAAAACTGAAGTAGAAATCATGCCCAACAGAGGCCATTTCTTACACCCAAGTGCTTTATCAGTCCCCACCCGCTGTGTGAACAAGTGCTGTTACTGTTCTCACGTCCATATGGAGAAAGCGAGGGCTCTGAAAGTCACAGCGGTTACTCGAGGTTGTATGGCTGATCAGGGTTGGAACCCCAGTGCGAGGAAACAGGGCTGTCAGCGCTCCTGCCCCAGACTGGACACAAGCAAGAATAAGTTTTGATTCCACCCATGGACATTCTGGAGTCTGCTGGGTTTCTGTCACCTGGCCTCCCGTAGCTAAGTCATCTCACAACCAGGAAGCCAGGTGTATAGGGTATGGCCCCCACTCTAGTGACAGAAGATTGAAGTGTGTTCATGGGACTCCTAGACCTTGCCCAAGGCATTGATTTTGTTCACGAGGGAAAAAAGAGCCTCAGCAGCCCTGGCTTTAAGCACCTCAACACACCTGGGTGCCCCCGCCCCAAGCAGCTGGCCTGGAAATAGCCAGGGCAGAGCCATGGGCCCTCTCAGTAGGCCGGCACCTACAAACATGAATGGAAACTTCAGGCCACCTTCACATTCATCTTTAACACCTGGGCAGTGCCTGGAGCAGAGTAGGGCTAAAGCACTGTGTGTGAAATGAAGGTAAGAAAGAATGAATGGGGGGAGGGGCAGCAAATGGCATAATGGTTACGTCGTTGGACTCTCATGTAGTTCACCGCGGTTCGAACCCCAGACCCAGCAGCTTAAATCTCACGCTGGGCACATGTGCCTGTGTGTCCAAAATCCTGAGAGGAGAATGGAGGGGAAGGGATTGTGGCATGCCCAGTGGGTGATTTCTCGCTTTCTTTCTCTCTCTCTCTCTCTGTCTCTCTGGGGAGCACACACTATATCATAAGACTCTCTTAAAAAAGAAAGGGGGGGCCAGCAGGTGGTGTGGTGGTTAAAGGCACTGGACTCCCACATAGTCAACCGTGGTTCGAGTCCTGGACCTGATGGCTTGCTCTCTCTCTCTTTCTCTCTCTGGTTAAAATTGAAAAGTAATGATAATAAATAATTATTTTAAAAATATTAATGGATGGGTATAAACATACACATAGCCCATGGCACAACCCCATACAACAGTTAGCAGCAAATACGCCCAATGCTTAGTGCTCAAAACCTTCAGTTATAGATAAGTATATACACTATGACTCTTACACACACACTCATACACACCCATGCCTACATACACAAACCCAAATCTAAAACAAAAACACACATAAACACATGCATATGTCACGGGCAAACATATGTGGTACGGATAGCCACAAACACATATATACGCACCCTCACACACATGCATAATGACTCTGGGCCCAGGAAGGAGTCTGTCCACCCCAAGAGCCCTCGCATGTTGGAGCTCACAGGAACGTTCTTTGCAGCCCCCACTTAGCTGGCCAGTAACTGCCCCCTGGCTCCTGGACCTTCAGGCTAAGGGCTGGCCAGGCAAGGAGGCAGTGTCTCTGACAGCCCCTCGTGGGTGGGCAGGAAGGCAGCGGACACAGAGGTCACTGGGGTGAGGCCTGGGGCTGCTCTGGCCTCCCTGCTCCTGGCTGGAATGTGGGCCTCTCTCCTCCCCCACAGCCACCCACCAGCCCCAGGCCCAGTCAGCTCGTCACTCCGAATCACCAGGTTCTCTTAGCCAGGACCTGGGCACAGAGAGTGGCAGGGTGGTGGTAGTAAAGAACAACTGAGTGACAAAGAGGGGCACACACAGCTGTACAGAGAGATGCACACGCAGAGAAGCCCAGAGAAAGACACACGTGCAAAACACAGGCAGGCACACCAGCTCGCCCCGCTGGAACAGACTTCAGAACAGTCCCAGACACACCCAGAGACACAGCCAGCACTTACACACACACAATGAGACAAGCAGGTAGTGGTACAAAAGAAAGAGACCCAACCCACACTCAGTCTGAGCGTGTGCAGTGGACACGCTCAGACACACAGCACATACACACCCACACGGCCCCCTAGGTACATGTGCAGACACACGCCACACTGGAGCATTTCCTCCTCCACCTCCAGGAGATGTCCAGGGAGGCCACTGCCTACCCAGGTGTGCTGACCTGGCAGGGAGGGTGTGACCGGGCTGCTTTGGTGTGACCGGGCTGCTTCGGTCTGAACTGCTGGCACCCCCAGCCAGGCGCCCTGAGGGGTGTCCATGGGCAGCCCACAGTGGCCTACTGCCCTGCTGTGTCAGTGCCTGCCAGGAGGGCAGTATCCTGGGTGAAGAGCGGGCTCGAGTCCCTGGTGTGGGGTTCGTCTCTGCAGCTCCCGGGACACGCAGACACATGGCACTCACAGTTTCCAGGAGTGCGTGAGTGCACTCAACCGAGCAGGCACGGCCGCTCTCGGAGGCTGGGTTTCTTTATTTATGAAGTGGAGTGAGCAATCCTCTCACAAACCCCACTACCACCACCCCACCCTAAGGATTGCGGAATGGCGTCAGGTGGGCATGAAGGGCCTTCCTAGGGACGTGGGGCTCTGCCGTTCTTGCAGAGGTCGCTAAAGTTGTCTTGATGGCAGACGTTGGACACCACACCTGGGTGCCCCCACCCCAAATAACTGGTTCAGAAGAGCGGGGGCAGAGTCGTGGGCCCTCTCAGCGGGCCGACACCGGTGCTGCCTGGTCAGCAGGCGCCCAGACGCCGCTCACCGAGGGCCGGGCTCCGACGGGACAGTGGGTCAGGAGCGCCCCCTCCACGCAGTGCAGGTCTAGCGCGCTCAGGTCTGCGCGCGGCCAAGTCGGGTCCGCTCCGCAATCCGCGGCTCCGGGGACTGAAACCTCGTCGACGGTGGGCGGGGCGGGGCGGGCCGGCAGCCCCGCCCCCACTCACAGCCCCAGAAATGCAGCTGCCGACCAGCTCCAGTCCCAGATGAGAACTGCTGTCCGAGGAGGAAACTGCATCTTCAGGCGACTGCCCTGAGATCGCACTGGACGTCCGACGGGCCGTGCTAGGGACTTGCCTACCCTGCCCGCCCGCCCCGCCGGACCGCTCCCCAGCAGGTTCCCCGGTACAGATTTACCTGCGGGCTCCTGATTCGCCAGGGATTCCAGAGGATGCTGAGGCCATCGGCAGGGGCCCAGGGACAGCGGTGAGCGGAACATCCAGCCCCCCAACTCAGCTCTTCTGTGCAGGGACTCCCCTAGGGGGACGAGCATGGTGGTTTTTCCTTGGAGCCCCCTGGCTGAGGATGTCTGAGAAGATGCTGGCCATGAGGCTGTTCACTTGTTTCCTGCAGCTCCTGGCTGGGCTGGCACTGCCCACTGTGCCTCCCCAGGTAAGAATGACCCTCACCCCCAGACTGGCTGCTCTGACCTTCCCATCCCAGCACTGGAAACAGGGGCTCTGAAACCATAGATCTGCTCCTGAGGGCAGCAGTCGCGAGGATGTCCACACTCTTCCCAGGGACCAAGCTAAAGACCTGAGTCTTCTGGGAGGAGACACAGGCTGGGCTGTCCCCAGCTCTGGGGGGCTGTCTTGGCTGGGGCAGAGAAGCCACAGGGAGGGAGGGAAGTTTCCTGTCTGGCCCCTGCAGCCCTAGTGGCTTTGCTAAAAGCATCTGTCCAGTAATCCTGGGTAGGCGGGCCTCTGGCCTTGTGGTCAGAGTTGAAGCCTTGTGACCAGCCAGGCACCCCAGGACCTCTGACCTGGCCTAGTGGCAGGGGAAGCTGGCTGACAAGGCTGTGGTAGGGAAACTGGGCCCTGCCCCCACCAGGTCTCAGGCTGAGCGTAGGACTCCTGGGTGGGCTGGGGCAAGACAAGGGGTCCCGCCATGTCCTCTCTCCTGGGTGGGTGGCTGGAGGCCCTGAGTGCAGGGCCTGGGGAAGTGAGCAGGGCCCTTTTCCCAGGAGCCGGGTGAGTCTGGCATGGAGCCAGCTTGGGCAGTGAAATTCTGACAAAGCCAATGTGCTCCCTTCCCACTGCACTGCCTTGCTGCCCTGGAGTCCCAGCCCTGGCCCCGGCCCCAGCCCCAG